CACGGCAGTTTCCATGGTGATCGCAACGTTGCGTTGCCAAGACGAAGCCAGTCGCACGGATCCCGTCCGGTTACGGGGTAGAATCAATAGATAATCAGTTAAGCCTGGGCAATAAGTTGCACTCTTAGTTCAAGCCTCATGTTTATACCTCCCGGCCCTATTGTGCAGTAAACGAGCCTTTGGGCATAAGTTTTCCTTCTTATGAGCGATTAGAGCCATAAAGGAGCACGCTTGATTTCGCTTGTCCTTCACCACAGCCTCTCGCTACCATCAAGAACAACATCCGAATAATTACTCGCGGGCAGAGTGTCCTCATCCGAAACGGTCCGCCAGTTCTTCAGCGTGGACGTGATTTACCATTCACACGCCGTGGGAAGAATCCGGGGACTTTGTTCGCGGCTCGTCTTGCGCCACCAACTTCGGGGGGTTCTGAAGAAGCCCCCCAAAGCCAATAATCACACTGAAACTGAATGGGACAGTTTTTTTCTCCAACAACGCGCCAATGATGGGGCCTTTGAGCCCAGTTCGGGTCACAACGTGGGAAAATTCATTAAATTTTAATGGGAAATCATCGTGCAGGCCGGCAATTGGTCACGCCACTGATGGGCCAATTATTCGGGAATCGAAATAAAATCCGAAAAAAAAGCCGCTCGCAATCGTCATGCAAATGAGCCCGGTATTAGTCTTCTATATAAATGAATTGACTTTTCACGCTTCGCTAATCACCTCTGAGATTAGGCGAGTTATTTTTCAATTTGCTCATGATACAAAGTATGCGACTACAAACAGAGTAAAACTCACAATGTATTCACACTAACAAAAGCAGTATCCATGAGCAAAATGACTTTCATTCCCAATATTCTCAGACTAAATAATCAAGAGGCGTTAGATCGGGGCTAGTAGGCGGCCATGGGATAGGACCAGCTCGTCCAATTGAGATATCAACATTTTCATAGGTACAGGAAAAATGCTACTTGGCGAACTTTATGGGGTGGATAAGAATATACCCTTGAGGGTGAGGGTTTTAAAAATTTGCCTTTAGCCGACAATTTATTCGATATTATTGACCCAAACACTTTATAAATACATATTTGTGACCTTCATGCGTCGAAAGGAATCGATTGAGCTCAAAAAACACACATGTGAAATTTTCATTTTTGAAAAAATGAAAATTTTCTGAAAATGTCTTAAGTTTTACCTTATTTTCAGCTCACGGACGCGAGAAATCCATCGAACTCATTGAAAAACATGCTAGAACTTTCAGATCTGAATAAATAGATATTTTCGGCACATTTTAAGCGTTTTTTGAGAGATCACGATCTTAAGCCGACAATTTCTTCCGTATTATTGACCAATTTTTTCGTTTTTCTGAACATGGGATTAAATCCAGGGTGATTGAAAATTGGCGTCATTCCTTTTAAGGGGTTATAGAAGCTCACTTGGAGAGTACGAAAAAAAATACGAAAAGTACCTAATGGAGGAATTCCTCAGTAACACAGCAGAAGCTGCAAGTCAGTACGCCAACGAAGGGCTCGAGAAATAATCTCTAAAGTCTTAAACTTTACATCATTTTCAGCTCACGCACGGGAGGAATGCATGGAACTCATTGAAAAACATGCAAGAAGTTTCAGATTCGAAATATTAGACATTTTCGGCACATTTTAAGAGTTTTTTGATCGGTCACGATCTTTATCAAACACTTTATTATGCAAATTTCTGACCTTCTTACGTCGAAAAGAATCGATTGAGCGTAGAAAACCCGCTTGTAAAATTTTGATTTTCGGTCGAAATTTTTCCACGGGTGAGGCCTCGATTTTTGGAACATTTTCTCAAAATGTTTTAACTTTTACATAATTTTCAGCTCAGGGTCGCGAAAAATGCACGGAACTCGTTGAAAAACATGCTAGAAGTTTCAGATTCGAAATACTAGACATTTTCGGCACATTTTAAGCGTTTTTGTCTCGATTTTTCGCCGACGATTTCTTCCTCATTTTTGATCCAAACACTTTATAAGTGCATATTTGGGATCTTCTTACGTCGAAAAGAATCGATTGAGCTCAAGAAACACGCATGTGAAATTTTGATTTTTGGCCTACATTTTTTCAAGGGTGAGGGTCCCTTCAGGGTGAAATTAAAAGAAGTATTTTTTACATAAAATTTCAAATATATCAAAAACGGATAGACTTAGGTATAGGATATTATACACGAAATATATTTCGAGTAGAATCCAAAAATGGAATAATATACAGGGTGATTCAAAATTGGCGTCATTCCTCTGGAGATGTTGTCTGGCGCTGTTATAAGAGTACAGAAATTGTTATTAAAAACTGAGAAATTTGCAAAAAACTATATCACAAATACGGCAGCAATGTTTTTCAAGGTAATCTGCCTAATTAACATTGTGCAAATGCTTCGTAATTATTTAAAACTCCGGTAATCATGGAAGTATACAGACTGACAATAAGATAGACAAGGATAAACGGTAAATTCAACAAGATTTGTTGACGAAATGTCAACCTGTTCTCATAACCTCGAATATCGGTGTTTAAAAATACCACACCATACATTTGAATGGTTAACTCCAGACAAGCTAGTGCCTGTGTAATATCCTTATTATCCACTCTTATCAAGCAGCTTCTCATATTCAGTTAATTAACTCCTGCTCCATTTGTATCTCCTTGTGCTGTGTGTATCGTACAAACGTGGTAGGAACGTAGCCCTTCCTCGGTATTTATTGATGCTTCGGAAAGTGTCAGTTATGTCTGAGTGCCCCTGGAAGGCCCTGATTCGGTTATGTCCAATACTTGTTCCTCTGTGGCCGGCCTCTTCAAAAGTATAATGACAGATTGGATCATTTTTCAAACGGTTGCCTTGCTAATAGCCGAGTCATTGGCAAAGTAATGGATTTCAGGCGCTTTTTGCTCGGAATACGTGAAAAAATTAATCAATTGATTGAATTTGTCGCTGCCATACGGAAATTAAGATGAGATGCCGAAAACGACAACGTTTGACGCTGTTTGACAATAAATCACCTGAATTTGTCACCTGCGAAAGCGGAGTTTGGCCAATCACGTTTCCAACGGTGGCTCGACAAAGAATGCACAGCCAAGTGGATTTCCACACCTGCTGTCAAGCCGGACGCAATCAAATGCTATCAAGTAAATAATTTAATGTTAACTCACAATGCCCTCCCATTCAATTCTCTATCCAACGATGCCAAAACGAATTCTCTGGCTCGATTGGTTCCTGAGAAACTTCGAAAAAAGCTATTAGCTGTTAAAAAAGCTTTATTTCTCTCTAGAATGATGTACAAATTATCGTTCTTGCGCATTTTGCCTCTGAGACATGAGCAAAAACGGGACGGAAAACATGAAATTTTGGCATAATCTTGCACCTAAGTGTCTGATATTTAAATTTCGCTTTCTGGGTCAAAACTACTCGAATTTC